AAGAAGGACCTTTCTCTCTTTCTCCCCTTCTTTCTGTAAATCTGCCTTTCAAACAAAAATAAATCTTTTCAAAAATTTTTATTTATGTCATTCGCAGTTCCTTATATTAAATATAATTTTACCATTTTCTTTCTTCCTCTGCACACAGTATTGCACCATGATTTGTTCCTCATAAGTAGCTTGTTTAGAATCTAGCCAACATGTAATTTTTATTTCTTTTCTGTATACTCCTAGGAGCTGGATAGCTAGATCATATGGCAGGTTTATTTGTAATTCTCCAAGCACTCTCCATACTGATTTCATATTGGTTGTGCTAGTCTACACTCCCACCACCAGCAGTGAAGGAGGGTACCTTTCTCTCCACACCCATGCCAGCAGGTGTTGTTAGTTGAGTTCTGAATATAGGTCAGTCTCACTGGAGTTAGGTGGTACCTCAATATGGTTTTTCATTTGTATCTCTCTGATGGCTAGGGAGCCTGAGCTTGTTTTTATATGTCTGTTGGCCATTTTGATCTGTTCTTTTGAAAGATGTCTGTTCATTTCCTTTGCCCATTTTGTTACAGTTTTTTGTTTGTTTGTTTGTTTCTGTCCCTGGGTTTCTGAAGCTCTTTTTATTTTTAGATCCTGGATATTAGTACCCTATCACTTGTATAGTGTGCAAAACTTTCTCCCATTCTGTTGGTTGCTTTTTCATTTTGTTAATTGTTTCCTTTGCTGTACAGAAGCTTTTTAGTTTGATGTAGTCCCATTTGTTCATTTTGGCTTTGATTGCCTTTGCTTTAGGCCTCTTTTCTAAGAAGTCTTTCCCCATTCCTATATCCTGGAGTGTGTTTCCTATGTTTTCCTTTAATAGTTTGGTGGTTTCTGGGTGTAGATTTAAGTCCTTGAGCCAGTAAGAGCTGATTTTTGTATAATGTGACACGTGCAGGTCTTGCTTCTTTATTCTGCATTTGTTGAATAGACCAGTTTTTTTTTACCTGGATTGTTTTCCGTTTCCTTGTCAAAGATTAGTTGACTATACATGTGTGGATTCCCTTCTGGTGTTTCTATTCTGTTCCACTGATCTTCTTCTCTATTTTTGTACCAGTACCAGACTGTTTTGATGACCACTGCTCTGTAGTATGTTTTGAGGTCTGCAATTGTGATTCCTCCAGTTTGATTTTTATTTTTCAGGATAGCTTTGGCTATTTGTGGTCTCTTGTGTTCCAGATTAACATTTGTATCATTTTTTCTATTTCTGAGAAGAATGTTGTTCAGATTTTGATTGGGATTGCATAGAACCTCTATATTACTTTTCATAATATGGACATTTTGATGAAATTCAAACTACATATGAGAAGGGGAGCTATAATCTTATGTTTACAGCAGCACAATATACAATAGCAAAGACATGGAAACAACCCAGTTGCTCATCCAAAGAGGAGTGGCTAAAGAAACTGTGGTGCATATACTCCATGGAATATTATTTGGCCATTAAAGAGAATGAAATTAGACAATTTGCAGCTAGACAGTCTGAATTAGAGAGCATTATGCTCAGTGAAATAAGTGTATCACAAAAAGAGAAATATCATATGCACTCTCTAATATAAGGAATCCATCATGCAAATTGGAATGTATAGTGGTGGAGTAATGAAGACTACCATATCCAGAAGTGATGACACAATGCAACATGCATTGTTGGATATATCTAGAAAATGGGATGATGGATTGTCTGACATCGTCTGTACCAGTAATGTCAGGGCACACTTTATAGCAGAATGATGGAATTGTAACTCCTTATGAAGAGTTGTGACATTATGAGAAAAATTAATCAGGGGCTAGAAAATGGGGGAAGGGGAATCCCAGACTATACAGAATTTTAGGATAAATGGCAAAAATAAAAATTAAAAAAAGAATCTAACCTACAAGGTGATATTAGGAGGTGGGGCATTTGAGAGGTGATTAATTATTATTAGTGCCCTTGTAGCGGAAACCCCAGAGAGCTAGCTATTCCCTTCTACCATATGAAGACATAGGTACAAGGTACCATCCTTGAACCAGAAAGCAAGTCTTGACTACACATTGAATCTACTAGTACCCTAATCTCTGACTTCCAGCTTCCACAAGTGTAACAAATAAATTCTTTTGTTCATTAATTACCTACCATATAATATTTTCCTAAAGAAGCCATAATGGACTGAGACACATATTTTAGTTCCTCTAGATATTTTAAAGATATACTATTATACTTTTAAAATTTAATTTTAATGTATCATTTTTTATTATTATTGTGATTAAAGTTCACTGAAGTTGTACAACCTGTAGATTTTAATATTTCATTCATTTGGGTAATTTTAGCCATTATTTTCTTCAGTTTTTTTTTTTTTTTTAGCCTATAGGCTACAACCCCCCTGTTATTCAATTACTCCCACTTCACAAATAATTTGCTAATTAAACTTATCCCACGATCTCCTCAATGTTTTATTTCTTTTTGAAGTCTTTTATCCTTTTTTTGTATTTCATTTTGTTTAGTTTCTTCCTATGCCCATTTTACAGATGATATTTAGAGGAAGAAATTCAAGATCACTGAGAATGTACCCTGGGTCCCAGGACAATACTTTTCTGTCTCAGACTGTAGACAAGATGTGCACCTAAAACAAAACAAATTGAGATAAAAATAAAGTTTCAATTGGCGTCTGTACTTTACATATGCAAAAGTATAATTTTATTTTTCAAATAATAAATTGTCAGTGTTGGAAAAGTCTATACAAAAGCATTAGCTTTCACCTCATTTTATTTACTTTGAGAATTTCAAATGGCAGCATTGAGACACAATTTCTATGAAAATCGTCTGGAAGATTCAGTTCCACAGTTCGATCCTAAAAGGAGCATGGAAGTTCTGTTAATGTGTGATCCAAAATCACTTAAATCTGTCACTTTTCTTCATCATGAGAGGATGTAAGGAATTGTGATATGTGGCTGACACATATACAAGAGTTGCATAAAGGTTCATGTTTAATTCTTTTAGGGCATGTCTCAAAATGTCCATCAAAAATAGTCTTGAAAAATTAAATACGAAAAGTTTAATTTATAGACCAGGCCTCTTTTTTCTCATTTCTTTCGACTTATGGAATATAATATGTATTAGACGTTCACAAGAAATCTAAAGATTTTTTCTTATTATATTCCTAGAATTCTACTACTATGTGTCAAGGGCTCCCATCACTTACCCTCAGTGACCTTCTAATCCAATGGAGGGAGAAAGACTATGATCACCTAGATCCATAGAGGAGCACATTTAAAGCTTGTAAACAAAATTACAACTTGTAAAGGTGCTTCAAGGGAAATCAATATAGCAGTTTTAGAGAATGTAAAAGCTGTGGAAGAGATTGTGGTGGTGCTGTGTGGACAATTAGGAGAAGGTTCTAAATTTTTTATACATCTTGGACTTAAAACCTTTATCACAGGCTGATTCACTCACATTTTCCCTCTTTCCTTGTAATCAGTTTTGTGAAGACTTTATACTGCATTTACAGATGGTTAATAGGCATTTTTTTTATACTGCCTATCTTTTTAAATGCAAAGGTGTATCATCTACCCCTTAGGTCTTATGACTTGCATCTCAGCCTGAAATTCCAACAACTCAAACATATTTCACATGGGCGTTATTTCATCCAACATCTTACTTCCCACACCAAATTCTATTCTTGGTACTCAGCCACTTCGAGCTTTCTGGCTTTCATGTAATTTTCTTATTCCTATGGGTCTATGACAGAGTTCTTGGGTGTCAAAATTCAATGTTTTATTTTTTCATGAAAACAAATCTCATCTAATCAGTAATCCATATCAATACACCTGAGGAGACTCAGTCTAGACTGCAGGTCTGCTACTCTGTCTTTGAACCAATCCCTCTCTGTTTTGTCACTGTTCCTTCTTCATATTCTCCCAGTAACAATGATTATATTGTATTTTTTAAATTAAATACTTATTTGAATAACAATTTTCATTTGAGCCGCAATGTTAGCAATGCCAGTTTTTAACACAGGTCACAAAATGCATGCACAACAAAAGGACTGGTGCAAGGGGCAAAATAATGCTAAGAATTAGGCTAAATAAGCTGCTGAATTGAACAAAAGGCTTGTGATCACCACACAAAATATAAAATGTATTCAACACTACCATCCACAACAGTCTTTATTGTTGATTATATTTAAAAATTATTTGCGTAAATATATATTGAATTGCAAATGAGTATTATACACGAACCCCCTCTTGGAAGGCAGTTCTTCGTTGCACTATAGAACATCTAATTACATTGCAAAAATATCTTTTTTTTTTGGCTACTGATAAAATAATTAATGATACTACTGTAAACACCACGAAGGCTACAAAAAAAAAAAAGAAAGAAAATAAACTTTCATTTTCGTCTTCAAAGTGCTTTACATGCAGAGTGAAGCACTTGACTTGCTGAACTAAATGCACTACTGCAGGATGTCCTGGGCCGGAGAGATGCTCTTGGGTGATCCGACTCAGAGCAATCATGCAACCCTCCTATAGCTTGGAAGCCATCATGTCACACTTACCAAATCCTTCTTTCCAGAATGCCATTCAAGACACTTAAAAAATGATGAGACTTCTTTGATAAATACACATAAAACGAAGACACAAACTGCTCTCGGACACTACTTACTGGTAGTGTCTGTGCTACATGAAAGCACCTTTAAAAAGAGCCTATGCGGCAAGAGATAAGTGTCTAAAGATTCAACATGAATCAACAGTGTTGGATAACAATATAATTCTCAACTCAGAAGCTGCCTCAAGATTAGGTGCATCTTCAGTTGATGTAAGAGGAAAAAAAGGCCATGGGTTTTATTAATCGTATCCACTCACGAATCGACCTACGGTCACCAGATGTGAAGACACAATGAGATTTTTGTTGTTGTTTATAGTCTTTGATTGAAGTGATGATAAAGGAAATAGATCTATTTACAAACAAAAACAAACAGCTACCTCTGCCTAGATTAAGAGGTGGCACCGGGCGTGGGGCTCACATTCTGAGTGGCCACAGGTGGTGCGACTTCAATGATCCTGGGTTTGTCTATGATTCTGGCGGTACAGTTGCCCTTCTCTACAATCCCAATAATCCATGCTTGGTGACCTTCACCATATTTGGGGGACTTTATCTCTGCACAGAACCGAGCTGCTTGCTCACGTAGTAAACAGATTAGAAGGCTTCCTGATGTCTCCAGGCAGGTCCCATGCATGAGGTCAAACATGTTTCCACAGGCTTTGCTCACAGCAGCCATCTTAGCCAGCACAGGAAGGTTGTGAATCACAAATGACACCTCGTTCCTCTGCTGCTTGGATAGGTTCTGTGCGTGGCCCAAAATCCCGAAGCCAGTGATGTCGGTGGCAGCATGGGCGTTGAATGTGTGCATGAGTCCTGCAGCTGTTCCATTGAGCCTGACCATATCCATCATCGCTTCCTGGTAAGCCAGCTCCACATCTTCTTGGGTGACCACTAATTTAATTTTATTCCATTTTTTCAGCAATGTACAGCCACTGATGCACTGCGACAGCAACTTGTGTCCCCAGGGGTTTCGTTAACACCAACATGTCTCCTGGCACTTCATTATCTGGCATGATAAATTCATTGGGCTGGCAGACAGTTGTAGCGACTCCTCCCAAAACGATCCAGGGGTTTAATACCGTTTGGCCACCTGTTACCGACGTTCCTGCTTCCTCTGCTGCATCTTTAAAGCCCTGTATAAGTAGGGGGATCACTTTATCCCTTTCCCTGCCGGTGATTTTATTACTGACCCCGAGGAGCATCAGCATATTGTCACATTCCGTGACCAGGGGCCGGCACTATCCACTAAGTTCCGCACCCTAGCAGCAGTGGTCTGCAACCTATTGGCGCGGCACAAGGAGGACAACCTTAAGTCTCAGGCTGCCGCCTTTAAAGGCACAGCAGGCCTGGGCACACTGCTTGTGCCCCGCCCTGCCATGGGCAGGCAGAGGGGCGGAGGGTTGCCTCGCGGTGCCCCCGGCTGGGCCGTGGTGGCCACGGCGAGAGGACTGGGGTGCGTGGGGTGGGGAGGCGGGGAGAAGGCAGGGGCACCCCAAATACCCGGAGCGTCCGTCCACGGGCCCGGAGGGGCCCAGAGGGACCCGGAGGAGGAGCCTCGGGGAAGGCGCGGGGGGGGGGGGGGGGAAGGCGAGAATCCAGACAGGAGTTTCCCCACTGTGACACGCCCTGGCTCCTGATTATATTGTATTAAAATTGCTTTTATTGATTCTGTTGTATTAAAATTGTTTACTTATATCATTTCCCTTTCTGGTGTGAGAGTTTCCAGGGTTCTAGCAGGAGGCTTGATGAATTAAGGATGTGTGAAAATTATTGTACTCATATTTTCTGCAGTTTAAGAGCATTCACGTCATTTTAAAACAATAAAGACACACTCAGAGATACAAGCATATTTGTATATAATAATTATCACTGACATGTTACTTAAAATTGTGGAAATGGTGAGCAATCTAAATAGCCAATAGTAGAACAGTGAAACACAGGGGTGTAAATTGTAATTTTGAAGACTTTCAATATAGAGAAAGATACAATATTTTAAATGAAAAGGTTAAGTTATTTTAAAAATTCTGTATGCTCAATGAACTTAAGCTTTTTTAAAAAAGAGGTTTATTTCATTTTTATTGCAAAGTCAGATATACAGAGAGGATAGACAGAGAGGAAGATCTTCCATCCCATGATTCATTCCAAAAGTGACCTCAATGGCTGGTGCTGCACCGATCCAAAGCCGGAGCCAGGAGCCTCTTCCAGGTCTCCCATCTGGGTGCAGGGTCCCAAGGCTTTGGGCCATCCTCCACGGCTTTCCCAGGCCACAAGCAGGGAGCTGGATGGGAAGCAGGGCTGTATGAATTAGAACATGTGGCGTCCCAGTGCGTTCAAGGCAAGGACTTTAGCTGCTAGGCCACTTCGCAGGGCCCAATGACGGCAAGTTTCTAAAACATGCTCACACACATGTAATATACATACATTCACAGGAAAAAAGGAAGAAAACTGGAAATAGCCCCTTATCTGTACAATGACATCTCAGCAATCATCAACTTATTTTCCTTTTTATTCTTTCACATTAATTACAATTTTTTTCACCAATATGTATTTTCATAAGTGGAAGAAGCCAGTTTTAAACATGTGAATATCAGAACTGAGTAGTATTTGCTAAGTGAAATTGGATTTATCCAAGGGAGGAAAGCAGTGCGATCATCTCCACTGCTCTGAGACTCACAGATCCGCCAGGTGTCCTCTGAAAGTTTGTGGAAAATACATATTATGAAAAAGCTATGTGCAGATTTTAGAAATTCTATGCCAAAATACATTTATGACATGGAGGAAGAGTTCATTGCAGTCTTAGAATAAGGTCTATGAATGGTATTGAATTTCTTCTCTGTGTGTTAGTATCACAGTAACTTGAAAATTGATTAAAAAACAGAGAAGAAACCTGATTCAGGAAAAAAAAAAAAACAAACCAGTAAACTTCATAGAACTGAACAAATAAATTTAAAAGAAAATGTCACATACTAGAATTCATTTAAAAAAAAACATTGTCACTAAAAGACATAAAGAATTAAAATGCAACTCATAATTTGAAAAGAATACATTCATGTAATATACAGTATCTTGAATTAAGTTTGCATGTTTAAAGTCAATATATTTTATTTAATGTTACAAATAGATTTGCAAAATATAATAAAAGTTAAAAATAAGCTTATAACTTCTTACTCCATGAACTTATATTGATGCAGTCTAAATAAAGATGGGGTTGGCAGGTGGCCATATGCCACCTCTCACACTGTTTCTGGCATGTCATCAATTCTTTTCTTAATCCTTTAAGACACTTATATCTGCTTTTCTATATTGTACTTGTGCAGAAAATACCTTTCTTCTCTTTAGGTGTCAACTCATTGTATTCTTTTCCTTGTTTCCTATTCCTTTGGCTAAGGAGACTGTCCTTTCCTCCAATTGAACCTGCTTATTTGAGGTAGTTATGACATTGGATTGTCATGACTTAAGCTAGTGTTTTGATCAGAAAAAACAGAAACATACAAATCACTTAAAGCAAATTAGTAAGATTCAGAATGTGTATTTTTTAAGATTGTGTGCCATTTATTTTTGTTGGAGAGGCAGATTTACCAAGAGGAGACACAAAGAAAGATCTTTCATCTGCTGGTACACTCTCCAAAAGGTTGCAATGGTCAGAGCTGAGCCAATCCAAAGCCAGGAGCCAGGAGTTTTTAAAAACTGCCCAAAGGGTGCAGGGGCCCAAGGACCTGGGCCATCCTCTGCTGCTTTCTCATGCCATAAGCAGGGAGCTATATGGAAACTGAAGCAGCTGAAGCATGAACCAGTACTCATATGGAATCCTGGCACTTGAAAGTGGAGGATTAGCCTCTTGAGCCATAGCACTGGCCCCTCAAAATCTGTCATTTTAATTAAAATAATCCAATCAATTTTATATCTGTTAAAATTCTGTCTCCAAGCCATTTTAACAAAAGTAAACTGGTACTAAGATCAGAACAGAACACAACCTTTTAGAGCCGAGACCTAGCCCAGCCAGTTCTACACCTGTGCTGGCTCTCATGAATATCAGTGGGTGTTGGAGTCTAACCCATTCTGGTACTTCCCAGATCCAAACCACACCCATGTCTAGGGAGACTGCAGCCATGTGCAGCCTAGACCATTACCCCCATTCTGGCTCTCACTTACCAGTAGGAATCCCTACCCAGATAGTGTGGCCTCTTAGTACCACAACCAGGCCTATTCCTGGTCACAACTCTTGCACATGCTAATGGAGATTATTATTCCATAAGAGTGAGAACCGATATGCCCCTACAAATTTTGCCTCCAGTCCTGATTCACTCACATGCAGCTCAGTGTCATGGCCCACCCAGCCACACATTACTCATTCACTGCTCCGACTCTCACTGGTGGATACCTTGATCCAGCCCTACCAGGAGAGTCCCCATCCCAGCCTCAGTATGTGCCTGTGAGTAATATATGATGATGATCGATGTTATCTGCTCCAGCTCAGGCCTCCTAGGTGAAATGGTACTTTGGTTTGACTCTTAAAGTTCCTCCTGTTCCCTTCTCCAAACAACTCAGTCTCAGCACCCTTGCTTACCTGCTAGAACAGTGACAATGTCCATGGGAATCCCTTGGAAGTCATTCACCTGCACGTGAACTCTCAGGTTCCTACATGTTCCCATCTGGCCAAGCACAAGGCTCCTTATAGGCCCACATCTCCAAGTCCCCAGAGTTTGTCACTGGGTGGCCAGAGGGCTTTATCCAGGTGATACCAACTATGTTTAAGCAGCTGGTGGGATGAGATTCCCAGATCAGAAGACTCATCTTATAAATATTCTGTAAGTGAAATATTAGTGCTGTATTTGCCAAGAAAGCCAGGCATGGAAGATGACGAGTAGAAAAATAAGTAAATCCCACCTGCCTCCCATCGTACAGATGGGAATGTAGAGACAGAGGCAGACAGAAAGGTGGAGTATATCTCATTGTCTCCCTATCAGTGTGGAAGCTAGATATGGAATTCAAGGTCTTACCTTCAGTCTCTTTTCCAAGGGAAAACATTTATCAATTAGTCTGTTATGAAATGTAGCATTTCATAAAAACTATTATTTGGTAGCAAATCACATTCTAGGCCTATTCTAGAGATCATACATGTGAGAGGAAGAACATGATCTCTTTTACCACATAATCACTCTAATCCAACTCCAGGCCACTTTCGGTAGACTCATTTCTAGTTAAGCCTGTATTTCTCCCACCCCCTTTATTTATTTATGATGCCCCAGCCTCTCATCTCTTGTTATTACTGTGGGATGTACTTCCTACTCCTAAATGAATTTTTGTAACCCACTATTGCCTGTCCCCCTGCCTCCCCATGTGGAGCTCATTATAGTCATTGGTTTTGGCCTTTGAAGGCAGCCTACAGTTGCACTTTATTGCCTACTTTTATACTTTTTGGACGATTGGCCAGAGAAAATGTTCAAGTGCTCATCCCATATTAAAATGATCTGATGAGATTCTTGGCACAGGCCTTCGAATAAGCCTTTGGTGACAGTAGGGCGTATGTTTGTGTGTGTTTGTGAGTGTGTGTGTATGTGTAGAGGGGCATGAAAGCCATAGTAAGTGGTTGACTCACCTTCCAGAAATTGGCTGTCACTTTATTCCCTACCCTCCTTTCCTCATGAGGACACCCCTTCAGTGAATCACCAAAGGGATTCTGGGTGAATCACCAATGTGGGTTACGATAGGCTACACAAAAATGCTTTCTTCCCCACTTTTGTTTGCCTTTTACTTTCCTTCTTAGTGACCAAGTGAGGTTTGCTGGTTTCATGATTGCTCTAATTCCCTTCCTTCTTAGTTTATTACTGTCCAGTGGTGAACGGAAATATTTTAGTTAAGTCTGCTGATAGTGTACTTCAAAATAGTAATTTCTTGTTTTCTGCTTCATTGACTAGGACAGGATTTGTAGTTAGTCCAGGAAGATGTAACCCGGATCAGATTCTGTTCTTATCAGCTGTGTTAAAAAATTGGTTGATGCAACCACTTAAGGACGGACTCCATGAGTAGAAGGAAATTGAATGAAGAGAATATTTCATGGTTTTTATCGGCATGACAAGTTGGGAGGTGGCCTGAGATAAAACTTCTGTAGGGAAATGGGGGGGATGGAAGTATTAAGTAGCAGGGGTGGGTTGCTGGAAAATATCTCAGCTTAAACCTGATTGGTATTATGTAAATTTTATCGATTTGAAAGTTGAAAGGCATGTGTTTGGCTATG